GTACAAAGCTCCGTTTGGGCAATATATCTTTAGAAAGCTATTTCAAAGGCCTACAACTTTCATGCTTTAAGTTTTCCAAAATTCCCTACATATGTTCACTAAAACCTGCTATAACACGGACCTTCTACAAACTTAGTCGATTTTGTCAAATCTTATGCACCTCACTTTCCATCTTGATTTTGAAACAACTATTTTCACCCATAATCATCCCGATGGGACTTCACATGACAAAAATATAACCTTACTACTCTTTTAACTCATTCATACCTAAGCCGAATGTACGGGGTGTTACATGTATAGAGCTTAGCACATCATTTCATCCTCAGACCGATGGGCAGTCGGAGCGGACAGTTCAGATTTTGGAGGACATGCTCAAAGCATGTGTGATTGACTTTGGAGGACAGTGGGATCAGTTCTTGACTTTGGTAGAGTTTGCTTACAACAACAGCTATCAGTCCAGCATTGAGATGGCTCCATATGAGCCTTTATACGGTCGGCGATGTCGTTCTCCTATCGGGTGGTTTGAGCCTGGTGAGGCTAAGTTATATGGTACAAATTTGGTGCAAGATGCCCTGGACAAGGTAAAGTTGATTTAGGAGAGGCTTCGTACAGCTCAGTCCAGATAGAAGAGCTACGCGGATCAGAAGGCGCATGATGTATCATTCATGGTTGGCGAGAAGGTCCTCTTGAAAGTCTCGCCAATGAAGGGTGTTACGAGGTTCGGGAAGAAGGGAAAGCTGAGCCCAAGGTTTATTGGCCCATTTGAGGTGTTGAGGCAAGTTGGGGAGGTTGCTTATGAGCTTGCCTTACCCCCCAGTTTATTAGGAGTTCACCCAGTTTTTTACGTGTCCGTGTTTCGGAGGTATCATGCCGACTTGTCCCATGTGTTAGACTTCAGTACTATTCAGCTGGATGAGAGTCTGAGTTATGAGGAGGAGCCAGTTGCCATTATTGATAGACAGGATTGCTAGTTAAGATTCAAGAGGATTTCAACGGTGAAGGTCCAGTGAGGGGCCAACCAGTCGAGGAGGCGACCTGGGAGTTCGAGGAGGACATGCGGAGCAGATACCCACATTTATTCAACACCTCATGCACTTTTCTATGTTCGTTCGAGGATGAATATTTGTTTAAGAGGTGGAGAATGTAACAACTCGACTGGTCGTTTTGCTTTTTAGAACCCCGATCCCCTAAATAAAACTTCCCGCGCTTACTTTAACTAATTTACAACCTGCGCGGATGGTTGGTTCGGGATTTGGAAGAATTTGGGTTGAAATATGCTCATTTGATTCCTTAAGATTTTCTTAAAAAGGCTAGGTTTGACTTTGGTCAACATTCTTAGCAAAAGGACCTGGATTCGTATTTTGACAGTCCCGGAGGGTCCGTAGGAAAATATGGGACCTGGGCGTATGCCCAGAATCGAATTCTGAGGTCCCTAGCCCGAGTAATAAATTTTTTATTAGAAATTGTTAAACTGAAATTCTAAGGATTTAAAGAAACTAAATAATGATTGATCACATTGGTATCAGGCTCGTATGTTAATTCGGAGCCCAGTGCAGGTCCAATATAACTTTTTAGACTTGCCCGCAAAATTTGGTGTCAATCCGACTAGTATAAGAACGTTTCGGCACGTTAGAAGTGAATTTAAGAATTTGAAGTTCATAAGTTTGATTCAATTAGTTTTAGGGAGTGATTCATAGATTTAGCGTTGTCTTGGGTGTTCCGAAGGTTCGAGCAGGTCCGTTTCATGATTTCAGACTTGTCGGTATGTTCGGGCGGGGCCCGAGAGCCCTGAGCGTCAATCGGACGAGGCTCGAGTAAAGTTGGAAAAGTTGAGAAGAGCTGAGGCTTCTGGTTTCTGTCATAACTGCACCTGCGGTTGGTTAGCCGTAGATGCGAGACCGCAGAAGAGGTCATCCTCTCACATATGCGGCCAAGGTCGGCCAGGCACAAAACCGCAGAAGTGGCTCCATAGCCGCAGAAGTGGCTTCAAGACCGCAGAAGCGGTCCCAGCCCGCTTGGCCAATTTCGCAGATGCGGCCTCTTCCTCGCAAAAGCGGGACCGCAGAAGCGGGACCACAGAAGCGGTCACCTGACCACAGATGCGGAAATCACTGAAGCAGTGAGCTTCAATTATTACGGGCTCTAAGTCATTTTGTCCATTTTTCACTCATCCATTGGGCGATTTTTGAGCTTTTGAGAGAGGACCTTCACCTAGCATCTTGAGGTAAGTTTATCCTACGTATTTCTAGTTTAATACTTGAGTCTTGGGTAGATTAACACACAAAATATTAAGGTAAAATCATGGGGTTAGAGCAAAACCTAGGGTTTTGACAAAAGTTAGATTTGACCACAAAATTTGTTATGAAATGAATTAGAAATCATATATTATTGATCCTTGGGTTATAAAGAACAACTTTCTTCGAAAAATTCCGGAATCCGGGCATGTGGGCTCGGGGGTTGAATTTTAGGAAACTTGTATTTAAGGTTGGGGAATTGCTTAAATAGTTAGAATGCGATCTTGTGAGCTTGTTTTGACTAGTTCCTACCTCGTTTATCTAGTTTTGGATCGTTCGGCTCCAAAATGAGAGTTTGAGCTCGTTCTTGGTATTGGAAGTACGCTTTGGAGCGAAGTGAGTCTCCTATCTAACCTTGTAAGAGGGAATTGTCCCCATAGTTGATGTAATCAAATAATTTGCCATTAAATGCGGGGGCTACGTACGCACTAGGTGACGAAAGTCCATGCGTAGCTACTATCATGCTAAGTCCGGGTAGTTTAGGACCCAAAAGTATGCTTTATTTGATATTCTTGCAACTTCATGTTTAATTTGGATTGTTTAAATCATGGTGATTATGATACATGAGACTAGTTAAGAGGAACATTATCTTTCTTGGCCTTTTTAAAGAGAAGTTGATAGTTCAGTGAGTAATTGCTCCCCAGTTATATATTCTTGTGTGCTTGTTGCTGTGTTTAATTACATTTGACCGCGTCGCATGATTGATTCGCGAGCGGGATAATAGATGCATCTATGGTTCGCGCCGTTCGACCCTCGGCAGTGCATAGTTTACTTTTATGTTGGATCGGGCCGTACGACCTCGACACTACTTGCGCATGCTCTACTCATTATTTTTCTATGAGTTGAATTTTATAAATTGTCCTGGAATGAAAGTTTCCAGCTGTGACATTATCTTGGAGAGGACCTGTTATTTCTTGCTATACACTACTAATTATTTGTTTTTATCCATGCTCGGTATTATTCATCCCTCATATTATTTGACCCTAGTAAATGTCAAGTCGACTTCTCGTCTCTACTTCTTCGAAATTAGACAGGATACTTACTGGGTACATATTGTTTATGTACTCATACTACACTTCTGTACTTAATTGTACAGGATCTGAGGCAGGTACATCTGGCTATCAGTTTGGTGCGCACCCCTGAGCCCATTCCGAGGCTTACACGGTGAGCCGCTCCCTTCCTGTGCCGTTCAGCAGCTTGATGGAGTCTCTCTTTATTTATTTTTGCTCTCTATTCTATTTCGGACAGGAGGATAGAATTATTCTTTTGTATATTCTACTAGTTGCCCATAACTTGTGACACCAGGTCTTGGCACACACATTAGTAGACTATTCTTTTGGGAATTGTATAATCATTTTGGTACATTACTTATTATTACTTGTTTTAACTTTAACTTAAGGAATTACTGCAGTTATTTTGGTAAAAGTAAAATGAGCACTTATTCATATTTCCGCGTTGGCTTGCCGGCAATGGTGTTGGGCGCCATCATGACCTATAATGAAAATGGGTCGTGACAGCTAATATGTAAATACCAGAATTATTATGTAAATATACCTAAATTTTTTCTAAATAAATTCATAAACACGGATGCAATATATATTATAAAATTACTATTTGTACAATTAAAATGCTAAAATTATACCATAAATATTTAATAAAAACAATACATTATTATACCTTTTATGTAATTAAATATTAATTATATATGCGATATACTAAGAATCAATTCTGGTGGAAGTCATACTCTCGCGATAAATTCAGAATAATTGTAATATAAATGCATTGAAGAACAATTCCACCTTTTTTAATTATAACATCGTTATACCAATTATATAATTAAATAGTGATTTAAATATGTAATATATCATAATTATTCCATAAATATATGTATAGTATATATTCCAATTAATATATTATACCATTGTCATTATACCTGCTAATTTGTTGGTGTTATATTGATCTTATTTCCAACGGCTTGGATACACTTCAAATATTAATGAATATTTTAAAGTATTTTTTGTAATATTTTTGATCTTATTGTTTTACCTTTCAATTCTTAGTAGTAGTATATATCAATATACCTATTATATTCAATACATATTATTTTAATATTTGATTATTTTCTCCTTTATACTTGCTTTATCCCAAGTTTATTTGTAAATAAATTTTATGAGGAAAAAAGAATCATTGAGATCCCATTTTGTTCACAAGCGTGAAATATGGAATACAATTAATTATAAATTGAACCGTTTGCGATAACTTTGAAACTGAAAACATGATTTTTGGTCCAACATTATTGGTTTCTGCTAGGATTAGTTTCCATATCTGTTAATTACTTATGAGAAATCTGTAAAAGTTTCTTAAATATTGCCTAATTATGTTTTTAGTCCAACAAAGGGATTATTTACATCGACATTTTCTGAGGTCATTCTTTAAATTTTCTCCATTTCGTCCAGTGGCTAATTTTACCTTTAAAAGTAGTTGGATGATTTTTTCTTCTTTTTACAGACAATTTTCGCTCGCTAGGTTAATGGAGATAAAATTCAAATAGTAACATAATAAAAGGTCATTTGTCCAAATGACACGACCCAATTCTACTCTTACGGGCCTACTTACCTCATGTGAACTCAAATGCAATTTTTAGCATCAGTAAGACAACTTTGAGTGAGCTGGCCCATTTAACAGCCCATTCGGATTTAAGGCCTTTAAAACCTAGGGTTTTTCATTCAGCCCTATAAAAGCAAAGAACAAAGCACTTGCTTCGCCTTTGTACTCCCAAAGCCTCCAGAAGCAGTAGCTAAACAGGTGTGTCTCAGTATTTCCCTTGAATATCTCTAAGGTTTATGAATAATCTTTTTCATTTTCAATCTGGTTTATGCTTGTTATTTTCCTCAGTTGAATCTGTAAGATATGTGTTACTGAATTTATAATGCAAATTAGTTTGATATGAAAATGTGTGTTTCGGTTAATAAATGCGGGGTTTGAGACCTTTTTAGAGTAGAAATGTTAACTGAGAATCTTGGATTTATTTGCTTTTATTTATAGTTCCTCGGTTGTGTTAGTTACGATATAGTACGATTTGCTTATGGTTATGCCATTATAAGCTTGCAATGTAGAATACATGTAGAAATCAGGGTGTTTGTTCAATTGTAGGTGGGTTGCATTGGATTTCCTTTTTATATCGTATCAGAAAACCTGCATAGATATTTTTTTATGTGACATATAGTTGGTATGAATCTGGCCTTTTCATTTTTGGAATCTAATAATATGTTTGTTCTGTGTGGTTTGTGTGGCTTTTCCCGCTTGTTTACTAGTTTGTGCTATCAAAAATGAAACTTTTACTAGCAGCAGCCAGTGTTGTGTTTTTTTGTGCTAGATTCTTTGTAGAACTTGAAAAAATCAACTATATGTGAATGCCTGATCCTGTGAGATGTGTTATGCCAGATGAATAGTATTTAATGAGGACAACGAGCACATGTTTGAATATTTGGATTTGTACATCTATTTATTTTTATGATTTTATTGGTTGATTAGATTTTGATTGAACTTGGGATTTTCTTTGAACAATATGAAGTCGAAGTACACAAGACTACAAAGTGGAAAGACAACTGAGAGTTTTATGCTTTAGTTAACAAGAGCAGCTAGCCCTGTGATGTTTGCTTGATATAGTCGATTACTGTGCAATTTCAGGTAAGAGATGAAGCACAACAATGTTATACCCAATGGGCACTTCAAGAAGCATTGGCAAAACTATGTAAGGACTTGGTTCAACCAGCCAGCTAGGAAAACAAGGAGACGTGCTGGTAAACTACCATTTTGTTGAACTAATTGGCACTATTCTTTTCTTTTTTGAAATTCAATTTTGGTTGAACAGTATTAACATTTTTCTACCTGACTTTATTCTGTTGTCTTCAGCTAGACAGCAGAAGGCTGTGAAGATCTTCCCTAGGCCAACTGCGGGATCACTTCGACCTATTGTTCATGGACAAACACTGAAATACAACATGAAAGTCCGGGCAGGGAGGGGATTTTCTCTTGAAGAACTGAAAGTGAGGTTCTAGTTACTTATTGACTGTCGTTTACTTGATAACTTGCCAGCTATCCCGTTCACCACCCCGTACCCCCCACAGAGAAGAACAATTAACAAAAAGCTATCTCATTGAGTACAAAAGAAAATTCTATTTTTTAGTCATGTTTTTGGCTCTCTAGATACTTTTATTTTATACTGCCTATTATTTTGAAGCACTTGTACGTTTGATTTCCCCATTAATAAGTAGCTTTGGCTTTTCAGGCAGCTGGTATTCCCAAGAAACTAGCACCAACCATTGGCATTGCTGTTGATCATCGCCGCAGGAACAGATCATTGGAAGGGCTCCAAACCAATGTCCAGAGGCTCAAGACTTACAAAGCTAAGCTTGTCATCTTCCCAAGGCGTGCTAAGAAAGTCAAGGTGAATTTGAAAATTACTTCTTTTCCCTGCTAGGTCAGGATTCCTGCTTTGGTATCTAAACAGTTTATGCGAAAATTTACCTTGAACTCTCTTTTCCAGGCTGGTGATTCTAGTGCAGAGGAACTTGCTATTGCCACCCAGGTCCAGGGTTCATACATGCCTATTACTAGGGAGCAGCCAGCTGTTGACCTTGTCAAGGTCACAGATGAGATGAAATCATTCAATGCATATGGCAAGCTGCGTATCGAGCGTACAAATGCGCGACACATCGGAGCCAGGTTGAAGAGGACAGCTGAAGCAGAAAAGGAAGAAAAGAAATAAGCAATTAGAATTGTCGTGTAGCTTATTAAGCATTATCAGTTTTTTGGTGGACTGAATGAGATGGAGTTTATGATACAATTATATTCAGGATCTTGAGCTTTTCTCTTTATTCAAGAATTTTGTTTTGCTTGTGAGATCATGCAAATCTTTTGATGGTGTTTATGTTGAAGCCTAAGTCCTATTTCTCTCTTGTGTCTGCGTATTTCATGGCGGGTAGCTTAGTTGAAGTGTCAGTTTTCCAAAATTGTGATGGCTATTTCAAATTGATTAGGTCTATCTTGCCCCATCTCGAGCTGATTTGTTAACCCGAGGGGCAAACTATTTTCTGGTGCTACTTCGATGGCATGAGGTAGCACTGTACCAGTTTCAATCAATCTGTTGGTAATGATCAGCTGTCAGTGAAGTTATCAACCGGCTGAACCTTTATATGAATTATATTTCATTTGTTTGAAATGTCAAAGAGGGATTTTTGAATTAGCAATGGAAATACAAATTGTGGTTGGGATAAAAGAGATCAGGAAAGCAAGGGAAGTGCTAATTGTGGTTGTGGTGACACTTGGTTTCCTGAGGTATTATATATATATATATATGTATATCGTGGCACCATCCAAATGCTAGGATTTCATTTATCTTTTTCCTCCTTCCTTCGGGGTTTTCCTCCTAATAGTAACTCTTATCATTTTAACAGTTTCCTCCGTAATTAACCAACAAAAGTCACACCTTTTCATTGAAACAGCACCACCCCATTTATTGAATTAGCCTAAAGTTTCAATCAACTAAAACCAACCAAACCTACAATTACGTTCACCTCCTTTTTAGCATTTTTTCCTACCTTAAATTTTATACGTTATTCTATTTTACAGAATAATACTCCATGACTATGGTCATCACTGTGTTTACCCATTACTATTTCCATTCTTTCCATTTTACAGAAGCATTTAATATATTATTATGAGCCATGCATTTGATTACTCGCAAGTTATATAACTCGAGCATTTTGTGTTCCATGGACTACTCGTGCAGAAAACTTTGGCAATCAATTTTTGGACTCAAAGGCCAAACTTATTAGTAACGACTCAATAATTTGGGGCATTTGCATCTATACCCGCTTTTTGTGTCACGTTTTAACTTGTGCCCGCTTTGTAAAAAAAATTGCAAGCGTACCCGCTTTTTCGCATAACTTCAGCATACGGGGCTGAAGTAGCAAATGCAATCACGCAAAACTTCAGCATTCTAGTACCCGGGCCTGAAGTAGCAAGTTTTTGTTTTTATAACTGGCGAACTTCAGCTCTAAAGCTTAAGTTTTTGTTTGTAACTGGGTTTTTGTTTTTGTAACTGGCAAACTTCAGAGCTGAAGTTTTTGTTTTGTAACTGGCGAAGTTTTTGTTTTGTAACTGGCGAACTTCAGCCCTGGAGCTGAAGTTTTTTTTATTTGCTCTTGTCTCACACATGAAAATGCTAGTCTAGTTTCTTCTACGGAACTACTAACAAGTATTACTGCCACCAAAAGAAATTGCATCACAAATCCTCTCTTTGATGTAATCCTCTCAGATAGTTTGGTTATCGAGTTGAGTAACATTCATTTACGAAATACATTTTAGATCTGGTATTCCCCATTTTATTTTCATGATTTTTTCTGAAAGTTTTGACTCAATCAAGTACTGAGGAAAACAAAAACTGTTCCGTTTAATAACACAGTCCACCCTTTTTACTAATAGAAAACGAAGTTGTTTAAAAAAAAAAAAAAGAAGAAGAAAACGAAGGAGAAGAAGGAGGTGGAGAAAGGGAACTGAAATTGTTTAAAAAGTGGGTATAAGTTAAAACTTTTTTAAAAAATTGGTATAAGTTTAATGGGGGCGACCAAATAGAGCGCCTCGTGCAATTTTTACCAAGAATTTGAAAAATAGAAGATTGGAATTGAGATCAGAACCCATCCAAGTATGTCATTTCGGTTTTCTTTCATTTCTTTTCATTGGTTTTGACTCTCTAGCTATTAAAATAAAAGTTGGTATCTTTGTTTTTCTTTCATCCTTTTCTGTATATATTAATTTTTAAAATTAATAAAATTTCCATCAAAAGTAAAAATTTAAAAGTTAATATGTGGTGATTATTGAATTGTATAAACTATTTCATTTACAGTTTTATGTTGACAAAGGATATGAACTTTTTACTTTTGGAAAAAATATGATAGTCAATTTACTTTTTCTTTCATTTCCTCTATATATTTATAATTATTTTCACAAATAATTAAAAATCTTATAATTTTATAGTCATGGAGAAAAAAAATAACAAGGCTTGAATAATTGGGGAGGAAGGCTTTTTTCTTAAGTGTTTTTCTTTATTTTTTTACCTTTAAAAGTAAAAATGTAACAGTCAATATTTGGTGATCAGTGACAGAGTATTAATTTGTAGTTTTTTCTTTATTCTGTTCATATACTGATCAATTTGTTTTTACTCTGTAATTAAATCGAATAATTACTATGCATTAATGTCGTTGGTGCTTCATTTTCTTTAATATATTTTTATGCAGTATAGAGTTTGAAGAGATTCCTTTAACTTTCTTTATGTTGGAACAATATGGCAAACAAATGAATTTACTGAATCTAATCGGAGGCTTGAGTATTAGAGTTTGAAAAAGCACGAGAGCACAATTCTGTATGTTTTTTCCGTAGTTGGCTTTTCAACATGTATGGTAGAGGTGCCAATGTGCCATTACTATAACGAAGAATTTGATTTGCTGCTCCACAAGAGATGAAAAATTAGAGAAAAAGAGATTTTATTAATTGTGTAATATATGGTGGCTTGTATTAGTTTAAAATAGTTAATAAGCATAAAAAAGTAATTAGGTACTTTTAGAATTTAAATAATGCTTTTCTTTTGGGAGGGAGCAGCTTATTACCCTAATAAAGAAAAGAAACATAAAGGTTCTTTCTTGAACTTTCCTCAAAAGTGTAAGAGCAATTTTGAAACTAGACCTTGACGGGCAATAGTCTTAAGTTTTCTATCAACTTTACTTAATCTTAAACATCGTATAATATGATATGGACAATAGTCTTGCAGCTTATTGGAAAAAATATTTATATTCGTAAATCAATCTATTGAGTTAATTTTTGTATGCATACAATTAAATTGTAACTTTATCTGTACTTGGACTAAATTTAATTTATAGAATGATTTATCGAGTCATTAATTTTTTGTACAATCGTGTGAATGTCACGACCCCAAACCCGAACCTGGTCATGATGGCGCCTATCGTGGAGACAAGGTCAGCCGACACATTTTCAATCTAGTTTTTAAGCAATTAAACAATAAGCATTTAGTCTTAAACATAATATAAATCCAAAAGTACGCAGTGACAATACAAAACAATTCGCGGAATACAACACAACACAGCCTGATACCGGGGTGTCACTAGTCATGAGCATCTAAAAATCCGGAATAAGACAAGAAAGTCTACAGAGTTCAATTCAAATCTAAAATAAAGAGAAATAAGATAAGGGAAGATGCTCTGGGCTGCGAACGCCGGCAGCTACATAGAGAATCTTCGAATTCGCCTGACCTGGAAAGATCAACACTCGGTAGCGGGACCAGATGCGCCTGAATCTGCACACAGAGTGCATGGAGTAAAGTAAGTAGTCCAACTCAGTAAGTAATAATCATAAATAAACGACTGATAGATATAAAAACACGTAAGGCACATTACAGGCTATAATGAAGCAGTAAAACCAATAAAAAATAGTGAATCAGTAAAGATATGTAAAATCATTTTTAAACTTCAGGAAATATCTTTTCAACAATTAAACAGGCAAATGACAGACAAATAAGAAAGATAAACACATAAAGGTTCGCCCCTCGGGCACAATGTCAATAAATCCGCCCCTCAGACAATATCTCAGAACAATACCAGCCTCTCGGGCTATATCTCACATCATAATGGGTACCCGCGCTCACTGGGGGTGTGCAGATTCCTAGAAGGGCCCTTTACGGCCCAAGCGCAATATTAAGCCATCTCGCGGCATAATCACATAGGCTCTCAGCCTCATATCAACAAGTCACCTTGTGGCGTACAAACTTAGGCCCTCGACCTCATAATCATAATCAGTGTATCACCGTTGTGGCGTGCAGCCCGACCCAAAAGTATCCTCACAACACAGGCCCTCGGCCTTACTCAGTCAAAATCACATAAGCCACTCGGGTAACAGTAAAACATGATGCTCAGCCCGAAATATTATTTGAAATATCATTTGATATATTAAAGCAGAGTAAACATGGCTGAGTTATGAAAATAGTGAAATATAACATGACTCAGTTAAAGTATAAAGTCAAAACAGTGAGGAAATATCAATAAAAATTTCCTAAGGGTTCAAATAGTTGGCATGAAGCCCAAATATGCATTCAGCCCAAAACATGATGATAGCAAATAGATTTCAGTCAAATACGCGGTAAAATAGTCATTCAAGACGGACTAAGTCACAATCCCCAATAGTGCACGGCTCCACGCTCGTCATCAAGCATGTGCGTCACCTCAATATAGCACCATGATGTGCAATCCGGGGTTTCATACCCTCAGAACATCATTTACAATCATTACTCACCTCGATCCGGTCCAAACTCTAGCCCGCAATGTCTTTGCCCTCATGAATCGACCTCCAAATGCTTCAAATCTAGCCACAATCAGTACATAATCATTAAAATATGCTAAGGGAACCAGGCCCACTCGAAAATATTCAATTTACATTAAAAATCCCGAAATTGCTCAAACCCGGCCCCCGGGCCCACGTCTCGGAATCCGATAAAATTAACATCAATAGAATCATCATCCTCTCAGTTCATACATATCAAGAATACCAAAATCCGATCACAAATGACCCCTCAAATCCCTAGATTAAGGCCTCCAATTTCCAAGCCCTAAACCCCCAATTTTTCTACTGATTTTCCATGGATTTCAAGCTTAAAATATTAAAAATCATCATAGAAACAAGTTTAGGGTCCAAAAATCTTACCTCCACGAAATCCTCTTGAATTCCCTCTTCAATTAGTTCTTCCAAGCTTTCTCCCGAATGAAATATGGTGAAAATCCTCTCAAAATCACAAAGGGTGAAATATATACATTCTGACCTAGGCATTTTCGCACCTGCTGTCAATCCACCGCATTTGCGGTACCGCTTTTGTGGTCCAAGAGCCG